TGTGATAGCACTCAACCGCTTCCTGTGTTCCTATAACCCTCTGGCTCTTCTTCCCCACCCTCCCTGCCTTTTGGACTTCGTTTTTGGGAAGATCCTGCCCTTTTGACTTACATGGTTGCCCGTCCCGTGGAGTGTGCACCTCGTGGTATTCTTTTCCACTTTGTGGACTTGCTTGTTATTTGGTTGCAAACAAACCCTGGGAGTGGATTCAACTTCAGGTTTGGAGGGTGTCCAAGGGCTCTACCAGTCCCTAGCAGACCGGTGATTCTAGTCTTTTTTCTTAATGACTTTTAACTTTGTGCTATAGCTTTTCCCACTCGACCCAGGACTTTTTATTACGGGTTTGATCAGAGTAATCTGCAGTGGTTGCCGGGCACCATCTAGTTCTTCAGTTCTCAGTCGAGTGGAAGCTGTGAGTCACAAGGTCATATTCTTCCCTCTGTCTAAGGTTCCCTAGAGAACCAGGGAACTAGGAGCCTAGGGTTCTGGTTTAAAATGGATTCATTCCAGTTCACCCCTGCTGGGAATTTCCATTCCGGTCCCCGAAATGGTGACTCAGGATGTACGTTGTAACAAGACTCCCCAGGTGATTCTTTTGGGGCTCTCTAGTCATCAGCTGGGGATCTTATTAAACTATCAACTCCAATGCACATATCTCGTTCAGCACAACAGTTGGAAAGGAAGATGTGCAGCATGGGTCAGGCTGGAATGAACTGCTTCAAAGTCATGGTCAGTAAGGAATGGGAGGGAGGCCTTACGTGAGTCACACCACTGTCTACTCTAGATGCTGCTCTCACCTTCTGAAAAACAAACAAGCAAAAAACTGTGTGGTTGGGATTAACCAACTGCTAGGTGCTTCCTAACCTTCACAGCACCTGAATCTCTGATTCCTGCGCACGTGTACAACTTGATTCTTCCAAGTTCCCGGTGAGGTTTGAAAAGTGAGAGCCTTGTCCCACTGAGAGGAGCTGGTTCAGCTGAAGGGGAGGCCTGGCCCTGGCGGGGCCTGGCATTGGATCAACTGATTCTTCTTTGCTGTTACAGCAGGGGAACCACGTGTTCTATACGGATACCACAGGGAAACTACGGGGCCTGCTCAAAAGCTCCCTGGGGCTTGGGGACTCAGTTATGCCCAGAGTGAAAAGGTCATTCAGAAGCAAAGTCGTATCTGTGCAACCATCCTTTCTGGTGCTAAGTGTCATCCTTGGGAGGAAATAGCTTTCCTTTTGGGGATGGTGCAAGCGATTTCCACTCAACTGCCAAGCTAAAGGTTGGCAGTTCAAACCCACCCTGCTGTGCTACAGATGGAAGACCCATAAAGGGAGAGCCAGGAAAGCCCCATGGAGCTCAGTTCGAGTTGGTAACACATAGATGGCCCCGACTCAGAATGGACCCATGGCAAGGGGTGTTTCTTGTTTGTTACTTGGTTTTGTTCTGCCCTCTGAGTAGTCGTGGTATATGACGGTAGGGGTCTTGCTCAAAACGACAACAGTACAACAACACACTCTTGACACCAGTAGACCAAACAGAAGGACACCGTTAGAACACTCTTCCTGGGGGGAATATTCCTCGAGCACTCATCCTTTGGGTTTGAATAACTGCAGTGAAGTCTTGGTGGATTGAGCCAAAGCTGCTCTTCCTAACAGAGGCTAGGAGATGGGGGATAAACGCGCGGAGAGGATAGAAGCAGGAAAGGGTGGACTGTACACAGAGCACTTAGTGTCTCCCATTGAGCTAGACATCATGGTGACTGGAGGTCGTGCCGTCACTGGTGGAACTAGAATCTTAAGTCTCCTCGACTCCAGAGGGAGTCCCCCATGGCTGGTAGCGCTCTGCTTCACTGCTATACGCAGGCTGGCACCTCTCATATCAGGCTCCTTTGAGCTGACTCCCACTTAACCTCCCGCTGTGGGTCCCAGCTTGCCCTAAAGCTTCGTGGGCTCACTCAAGGCGATGATGATGATGTTAGTGGTAGCGATTCACCCCTCCACGCCAGCACTTAGCACAGTGGTTGTCGGTGCCCAGGAATCAACTCTGACTCGTGGAAACTTGTCTGACCAAGTAGAACTTCCCCATAGGCTTTTCATGGCTGTGATCTTCACAAACATCTCAGGGCCTGCCAGCCCTTTGGTTAGCAGCCACGAGTCCCCAGGGCTCCTCGCCCAGCTGGCAAGGCATTAAATCAGTGTTGACTAGATACATGAGTGGCAGACATGAGTCTATCCGTAAGGTCTTTATGGGGCCTGGAGGGACAGGGGATTGGAAGGGGGAAGAGACAGGCTCGGTTACAGGGCAGCGAGGAAAGGGCCTGAGCACAGAGGCAACAAGGCCTGGCACTAGTTGAAGGCAGTAAAGTAGGCAGTGGAACGCTTCTCAAAATATTAGCATTGCGGATGTACATTATTGTCTCAAAGCTGCCGAGGCTTGATTGGAATGCGATTATTATTCCGAGAGCCTGCCTGCACGCTCTCCCGTACAGAAAATCACGGACGCCGCCATCTCCGGATGCTATGTGTTTTGCAAGGCCAGTGCCTTTGGAAATGTTCTTCACTAATTGTCTCAATGGGCTTTTATGCATTGTTCATAACCGTTAAATTAAAAGCTTAATTGCCCATTTAACGAGGGAATTTACGTTCTTCTGCAAGCATATCTGCCCTTCTTCAGCCTGGCCCTTTGCAGGAGGCAGGGTTGCAGTTGCTGGTCACCGTCTGCTGCTTCTCCAGTCCCCTCAGGCTGGAGGGGGCGCCGTTCCCGGGTTGGCGGAGCACCTCCGTGGCAGAGGTCACAGGCCACCTTCCTGGGTTCTCATCCATCTGGCCGCAAATCATCGTCTTTATTACTTAACGCCCTTGTGTTGCTTGCTGTTCCTTTAAAAAGGTATGCATCGAGGGGTAGGATACCTATGGGAAAAGCCTGTCTCCTATGTGTGCGGCTCAGTGAATCTTCTCAAGTTGGACATCCGAGGTAGCCACAGCTAAGTACCGCAAGGGAGCTTTAGCAGCACCCCAAAACCCCGCTTTTGCTCTAGAACAGCTGTCCTGTCAGGCGCCATCAACCCGGTTCCAGCTCACAGCTGCCCCACGCTGCCCAGGCTCAGTGTGGTCTCAGTCCCTTGTGACCGCCGCTGTGTCAACCCGTCCCGCTGAGGGGCTTCCTCGTGTTCGCGGGTCTCGTGCTTTGCCGAGAGCATCGTCCTCGGGGTCCCCCTCCTGACAGCATGTCCGCAGCACGTGGCACCAGCCCCACGACCCTGCTCTAAGGAGCAGCCTGGCTGCTGCTTCAGAGAGCGCTGTGTGTGTTTCCCTGGCGGGCCATCATATCGTCCATGTTCCTCGTCAGCACTCTTTCCGGTGCTTTCATTCGCTTTCGTTTCGTCGTCGTGGTTCGGGTTTTGCATCGCTACGAGGTGACTGACGATACCACGGGCAGGAAGGAAACGCCCCGGCGCTTGAAAATCCGGAGACCTGTCGGGCTCGAGAGTGACGTCTTTGCTCGCTGACCCTCGACGGGCTGTGCTCGGCAGATCTGCCCACGGCGGGGTGGTCTTTGATTTCGTGACGACTGCTTTCATGGGCGTTGTGATCCCAGGTTACATGCCATCCTTGACAGCGTCGATCTTTTCTGTTCTCGGGGTGCTGCGACCCGGTTCTGAGGACTTTTGTTCTCTTTGTGGGAGGTGTAATCCATACGGAAAGCGGCCATTCATAATTTCCATTAGTAAGGAGCAGCTCACAGCTTTTTTATTTTCAGGGAACAAGGTTGTATTGTCTGTATGCTGAAGGTTTAGTAAGTCAGCCTCCACTCCCAATGGCTCCATCTGCTTCAGATAGTCCAGCTTCTCAATTTGCTCAGAATACCGACGGAATGAGTTTAATGAAAGGACACAGCCCTGACACAGGCCTTTCCTGGTTTTAAACCATTCAGTGTCCCCGACTATTTGAATGGCTGCTCTTTGGTTTTAGGTACAGCTTCTGCATGAGCTCAATGAAGTGTTCTGTAAGTCCCACTCATTGCAGTGTTAGTCTAAGGTGACCAGATTTTAACATTGGTAAAGCGGGACACCATTGATAAAACTCATATCCTGGCGAGATAGCCACATGGCAGCCGAAAACCGTGTACCCTAGCTTGTCATGCCTTCTTCCCAAAAATCGGGACTTTTTTAAAACGCCGCAGGACACGGGAAAAATTGTTAAAAATCAGGACTGTGCCACCCAAAGCGGACGTCTGGTCCCCTTCTGTTAGTCGTAATTTGTGATGACCCACAGTTGGATTGTTTTCTTCCAGTCTAACCTACCCTAAAGATGACCTTGTCTCCAGCACCCTACATTCACGTCCTCTGGGTGTGCCTTGCAGATGTGGGTCACGCCGTCATGACTCTGATACCTGGTCTCTTCACTATTGACCGGTTCTTCTTATCCACATCATGTTCTTGAAAGAGTACAATGCGTCAGGGTGGTGATCTTTCCTTTGCAGCTAAACCGTGCCTGGGGGGAGAGTTTAAATTCAAGTTTTGAAGAATAGCTCCGGCCACAGTCCCAGGAACTGCTGCGACTGGAGCAGCAGTTCCAGTACATCTGGATTCTTGAGGAAGGTCAAGTTCAATTCCACATTTCTGTCGGGGTGACAATTTAGCCCCCATCACAGCAGGGAACCCATGGGCTCTAGTCTTCAAAGTGGGGGAGATGTTGGCACACTGCAAGGTTTGACGAGATGGCTCCTAAAATAAGAGGAGGGCACTGGTCACCTGGGTGTCTGCCATAGGCCCATGGGACATCGCCGTGTGTGGCGCCAGCTGACCCGTGGGCCCCCTGTCCCCCCTTATTTCTAATGCTCTCTAGCCATGGGCCCTCTGCTTCATGCCAGGGCGCCCACCAGTTCTGTTTGCTGTTGATGAGTTCACTGGAAGCACCCTCCCTTCCCTTCCCGAGAGATGGCTGCCGTGCCTCCGGGAGCGATCGCTTCTTTTTCCCGGAGTGCAATCTCCCTGTCTTTCCCATCAGGCCCTGGACGGGGATTTCTCCGAAGACAACCGCAACAAGTGCCGCATTGCCACCGCGCCCCTGATCGAAGCCGTGGAGAACCTGACGGCGTTTGCGTCCAACCCCGAGTTTGTCAGTGTTCCGGCCCAGATCAGCTCCGAGGTAGGAATGCTCTGCAGCAGAGGAAGAGCTGCGATCTTTGGCCAGCTAGCTGGGCCCGTGAGCGTGGTTAAGATGCCGACGGTCTGGCTGTCGAGTTACATCAACGCTGCTGCCTTAATGTAAAACTCCGTCCCTTCGCATCTCTTGGAAGTCACACCTTAGCTGTAGATGTTGGGGAATGATCCTAACGTGGGTATTGACTTGATATGCACCTTTCTTGTGATAGATCATATTGAAAATGCTATTTAAGGAGTAAACACAGACCTCGGCCCTGTAAGCCAGCCAGCTTCTCAGGTCCCTGCCCTCGGTGCCTACTTCCTACAGGGGAAGATGGGGATCCATAAGGACAGGAACAGGCCCTCCCAGGCCCAGGTACCACTTGGGTCTGCACAGCCAGCCCCTGACTCTCTGCCGTTTGGTCCCAGGGTTCCCGAGCACAGGAACCGATCCTGGCCTCGGCCAAGACCATGCTGGAAAGCTCATCACACCTCATCCGCACCGCCCGCTCCCTGGCCATCAACCCCAAAGACCCGCCCACCTGGTCTGTGCTGGCGGGACACTCCCACACTGTGTCCGACGCCATCAAGGGCCTCATCACGTCCATCAGGTCAGTGTCCCCGGTGGAGGTCGCTGCTGGCCTGCCTCTGAACAGGGCAGGGAAGACAAGCCCACTGGCCTCTCACCTGTTAATAGTGTTGCTAATCATTATCTTCATCTCTCTGGTACCAGTGGTCAGAGTAACAATAAGCCAGACTCACCATCATAATAGCTCATTTGAGCACTGACTGGGTGCAAAATACCATTGTATGCATCTCCTTTGGTCATTACAACAACCTGATAGATACTGATACTGCTTTCATCTGATTAATGAGAAAGTTCAGGCAAAGAAGGTCCTAGGTGACCTTCCCTAGGTTACGTTCAAGCCCAACAGCTCTCACCTCACGCAGCCCTCCCGTCTGTACGTCAGAACCTACAGAATACCACTGTTTGTCTTGGCAGGCTTCGGGGGTTGCCTTTTGTTAAATTTCAAAGACCACCCTTGGGTCTAATAATTCACTTAAAGGACTTACAGAATTCAGAATAGCGGTTATACTCATGGGTGTGGTTAGAGCAGGGGTCCTCAAACTACGGCCCGTGGCCACATGCGGCCCGCCGAGGACATTTATCCAGCCCGCCGGGTGTTTTTGCCGCCGCTGCCTGTCCTGCTTAGCAGCCGACTGGTCCAGTGTGCATAGGAATTTGTTCATAGTTGTTTTTGTTTTTTAACTATAATGCAGCCCTCCAACGGTCTGAGGAACAGTGAACTGGCCCCCTGTTTAAAAAGTTTGAGGACCCCTGAGTTGGAGCCATAAAAAGAGGCAGATTAAAAGCAGTGAGGGAAGCAGCACACGAGGCCAGGTCCAGGAGCGGGCAGGCACGGAGTTCCTCGTTGCTCTCTCCTGAGGAGGCGGCCCGATAGCCTTACTTTCTGCCAGCACCGTGGCAGCACTCACAGGGTATTGCCAACCAGGGACGCTCTCCCTGGCCTTGGTGTCCAGAAGTTAGATTTGGACTTGGTCAGGGAGACGTGACTGTCCGTGCATAGCTGGTCTTCTTGGGTTCCAGCCCTCCCAGAGGTCTTCTGACACCACAGTACAACACATTGTGAGCCTGGCCTCACTGGTGTGGCCCAGGGCCTCCAGAGAAACACAGACAGGCTTAGCAGGCACGGCATTTCATGAGGTCAGTGGTTACCGCCCAGGAGTTGGGGCTAAGGCCAAACCTCTCTTGGGGCAAAGTGAATCATTCACTGCACACCTTCCATTTGTGAAGAAAACCTAGGGACCTTCCTGAGCCCACAGTGGCCCTGACGTCTTTGGTCATCTTGAAGAAAGGTTTGTCACGGCCACCATGTGTGTTGAAGCAGAACGGTGCTCCATTTGGTTTCCAGTGGCTAGTTTTCAAAAGTAGATCCCCAGGCCTCTCTTTAGAAGTGCTCTTCAGTGGATTTGAACTTAGGACCTTGTATCTTAGGACCCTTGTGCAGATGCCATACTTCTTAGCTTGGCCGAAGTTAATTCGGCCCCACATGGCATGCACCACTTTCCTTAGTTATATCTTGATTCTCAATTGTTTTGTGTATTTTTTAAAAAATAAATGACAAAAGTTCATGTAACGACAAATAATTAGTATTGAAAATATACGTATGTTAATTTGTTTATAGTAGAGCAAAACAGGCCCTTTGGAGAGGGGACACAGGGAAACAGTTGACCTCTCTGTTGAACGTAACCATTACTTGTCCCGAGGCTTCCGCCATGGTGACCTACTTCCTTGTATGACCTCCATTGCGATCTTGTTCTCGCTTCCACTCGCTGCCGTCTCCAAACATTCATCTCTCAAGGCTCAGCTGGGGATCAGGTCCCTGCAGAATCCATGGAAGTCCAAGGACAACGTCTCGTCCATACATTTTTTCCCACTCGGGCTCATGCGCTGTAGTCACTGTTTCTTCTTGGAAGGCTTAGCACTGCTTTGTAGGAGAATCCGCTGCCCCTCATACTCCCGACGCCTGTTTCTCAATTGCTGGTGAAGCTCCGCACCTCAGTTAACACTCTTAGTACCTTGCAATGAAAAAGCTCCTAAATTTTTAATTCCTCATAGAACCCAGCACTTGGTGAAGTGTATAATGGAGTGAGCATAATAAGTTTGAACTGAAAATGAGGCTGACCTTGTTACTATCAGGGTTCGAGGGTTACCTTAAGGAGCCCTGGTGGCCCAGTGGCGAGAACACTTGGCTACTGACCAGAAAGACCAGGGGTTTGAGCCCCTGGGAGAATGATGTGGCAGTCTGCTTCCGTACGTTTCAGCCGTGGAACCCCTACGGAGAAGTTCTACTTTGCCATGTTCTGTCTCTCCCTCTCTCCCTCTGCCGCTCCTACATGTCCCTTTCCCTCTCTCCTTGACTCCCTCCCCACCCCGTCTCCGCTTGAGTCAGTGAATGGACTGTCCACGTGCCAGCTCTTTGTGCAATTCCTTAGCCTCAGCCTGCGGTAGAGGGCAGCCCCGTATCCCTTCCACCTGGGATAAGTAGCTATTCCAGATTTAAAGTAAGGCATGGGCTAGACAAGGAGGCACTACCAAGCAAGGGTCAGGGATGATGTACTCCTTCAATAAGGTGATTGAGTAGGACCAGTAGTGGGCAGAGGCACCTGGGGCTTGAAACCTGTGTTTGACACGAGCTGTCCCCCTTCCAGAGACAAGGCCCCCGGGCAGAGGGAGTGTGACCACTCCATCGATGGCATCAACCGGTGCATCCGGGACATCGAACAGGCGTCGCTGGCAGCTGTCAGTCAAAGCCTGGCCACAAGGGATGACATCTCGGTGGAGGTACGCTGGGCTCTGTGCCGATCAGCAGTCTCTGGACGCTCAGCGCCGGGGTCTGGGGCTGGGGATGTGCGATTGGAAGGCTTGGATGCTGCGCTATCGTTGGACAAGTTTCTCCTGTGGAGCTTCCCTGGGCAGCTCTCTCTGGAGGGGCTGGGGCCAATGCTGAGTAGAGAGAAGGACTGTTCACTAAAGGCACGGGTAAGCTGTTGGTAGGAGGAGTTCATGTGTGACTCAAGGACTGGGAGTGCTCCCGTAGGCAGGTTAAGAATAACATTTCCTACTTTGAGTTTTTCTCTTCCTTGCCCCAAAGCTCCTAACCCACACTTCCTTCTCTTTACTGAAAGCACAGTAGCTGAGCACATAAGACACCTAATCATGATGGATGGCCTATTGATACTCACCCGTGTTTTACCTTACCACTACTCAGTTAATGAGCAGTGGACTCTGGGTCCCTGACTCTGAGCAGTGGGCCCAGCGTTAGCTTGCTTATTTTTGTCACTAGAGCCGGGTGCTACCACCCACCGATGTGCAAGACAAAAAAAGAATAAACATTCTCAGCCTTGGTGAAATGCTAGAATTGTTATTGATAGTCTGACATCGAACATAATTCAGCGTCATGCATCTACGAAAAATTGACTGGCAACATTATCTGTGCTCAGTGGCGGAAGACCAAGAGCCTTCCTTTCCCAGCGAACAGGAGTGAGGCAAGCGTGGCTGCTCTCCCTGCTCCTGCCCCTCACTGTTGTAGAAGTCTTGGCCAAAATCACACAGCGAGGAAACAAGAAAAGCACCCGAAACAGAAAGGAGGCAGCAGAGCCGTCTGGTTGTAGATGGCCTGACTTTGTGGGAAGTAGAAGATGGATACAGAAAAGGGCACTTCATTGACCATCCTGATGCATTATCGTAAAGCGGATGCACCCAACTATCAGTGCCCAAATCAAGCAAAGAGAGGCAGCCCCTTCATGCCTCCAGCCTGCCGCCATCCCTCCCTCTCTCCCTCCCACCCAAAGCCTATGGCCTGTTGTCTGCTAATTCTAACATCAATATACTATATTTCCTTCTTTTTATAGCAATGGAATTCCATAATATGTGGTTTTCTTCTCTGCCGGCTTTCCCATACCACCCTGTTTCACTAGGGCACTTGAGAAAGCTCATGGGAAAATGGAATTAAGCGATAGTGGAATTTCCCCTCGAATTTTTGGAGTCTCCCTTCTGTGTGCAGCCCGCTCGCTCTCTTTGTAAGACTGAGAGTCTCATATGCCCAGAATTGTCACACTGGGAAGGAAACCCTTTAACTGCATGTGCTTCCAAGTGATTCCATATACAATTTTAAAACCCTTCCTGTGACATCAGCGCTGCTGGAATATCGCGTGCTCTTGCCTAGGATCACAATATGCCTGGGAAGAGAGTAAATTGCCAGCTAAATAAGACCCTTGAACGTTGGGAAGTTTCTCCCCATCTCCTTTTCTCCTCTAGAATTTGTTTTAAGTTTTGCACATCAGGCTGCTGCTTTTATTGACTAAACTGGTCCACTGCCCCCACCCTCACCCCCCAGCCTTCCGATTCCATTGTTCTGTGGGAAGGCGGCGGGGCCAGTCAAGTTTCTGATGAATCGCGCTTTCCCCAATGTTCTGATCTATTCATCCTGCATCTGAAACATCACGCAAAGCAAGCCCACTGCGGAGGGGTTGACTGTCAGTCACAGCAGCCCGGCGGGACAGAGCGGAACTGCTCCTTCCAGTCTCGAGACTGTGAGTCTTGATGGCAGCAAACTGTCTCCTCTTTTTTTCTGTGGCACATCTGGTGGATTTGAACCACCAACCTCAAAGGTAGCGGTCCAGTGCTCAACCCACTGTGTTAACAGGGCTTTTTCTAACAATTGAGATTCCTACAGTGCATCTGATCCTGCTGCTGGTTGGCTTTTTGATCTTGACCTTTGGATCTGGGTGTTGGTTTGGGGGCCTGTTCATTTTGTGATCATTTACATACACTTTTCTCAACCCATATTCTGTTTTAACAGTCTTCACCTTCAGTTCCTCACCCCTCACGCTCCACCATGCCCGATAGCCTGCCCCATTGCTTTTCAGCAGTTCAGTTCTGTAAGAAGGAGAGCTTAAGCCGTCCCTCAGACTCGGGGAGAGGGACTTTGAGGGTGTCATTCTTAATGTTTGGGAGCGCAGTGAACGAGAGTGCAGGCTGAGCCCAGTGGGCAGCGCTTTGGCTAGCCCTTCACAGGGCGCCATGGGGGAAGCAGTCCCGCTCTCAGAATTGAGCTGGCATTTGGAAGGCTTCCCCCATCCTGTAAAACACAGTGCCCTGGGCATGCCCTCGGCCCCCACCGCCCCCCATGAGCTCTTCGCTTCAGACCACGTTGTCCCTTCTTGGAAAGCCATGTCGGTTGTACATGTTCAGCAATCACGCTGAATAGCTGGTCAAGGCACCAGCAGCATCAGGTGGCACTTGGGATGGGTGGTAGTACTAAGCCAGCAGGAGACCAGGGGTAGCAGGAAGAATGGGAGCCCTGGGGAGAGTGGGGGGGGGGGCTCTTGGGGAGAGGGAGAGACTCGGGAGCTAAGCCGTGTGGGAAGGGCAGGGTGGAGCAGCAGCTGGATGGTGTGGGCACAGGCGGCCCTGCTGTGGCTCCATGTGGTGTGCTCACCTTTCCCATGGCACGTTGGGAATCGGTCCCGCTCCGGGGAGGGGCCGTCTGGGGCTGAGCTTCACAGTCCTCCCCTTGTCAGGCCCTGCAGGAGCAGCTGACTTCAGTGGTACAGGAAATCGGACACCTGAT